ATATATATATATATATTAGGGGTGGAACAGTTCACAAAATCCCCAGTTCGGTACGGTTCACGGTTTCGTGGTCACGGTTTTCGGTTCGGTTCGGTATATGTTGATTGTTGCACCGAAATCCCATAAAAATTAATGAAATTAATGAAAAAATCCCAAAAAATTAATGAATTGTAATTATTTTTAATGATCCGCGGAAGCCCTGGATCATTTCCATATGTTTTGCTGCTTTGAAATTAATAATCTCGCGTATGCCCTCTACGATCTCCAAGGAACTCAGAGTGGAGCGGACGGGAGCCACAGTGGAGGCTGTATGCTTTGCTTTGTGCAGGCGGTCTTGTGCGCAGCGGGGCGGAGCGGAGCGCTGATGGAGTATGAGGGATTTCGGGGTTAGCATGACATGTTGGTCATGTTGCTGTTAGCATAAACAAAACGTGTTACACAATGCTTGCACACTTTTGCACTTATATCCACAACTTTCTTTCCGCCGTCATCGTAGGTCACTCTAAATGCAAAGTGGTCCCATACAGCAGACCTATAAAGTGCTGCTGGCGCGTCTTCCAACTCCTGTTCTTTTCCACTTGCCATACCCACACAATTCTCCAGAACAACTGATTTTTTTCTGCTACACCCGGCTACGCTGCTTCGCTTCTTCTTCTTCTTGTTTACTACTTGTGGTTGGCTTTGGTCGCAGTACTGCCACCTCCTGCTCTGGAGTGTACACGCTTCGCCTATGAGAAAAAGGAGCAGCGCATGAACCGAACGCAACACACGCAAACCGAACCAAGACAGTCGAACCGAATGGTTTGGACGGTTTTCATAAACCGTTCCGTCCCTAATATATATATATATATATATTTATAGCTATTGCATTGGGTGTCAAATTTAATGAAACAGGTTATTAGGCAGGGTATTAAATAGCGATTGCACATTATACATTGCACAAGTTATTGCAGTTGCAGTGTCACATTATAGAGTCTGGTGGCAGCAGGGATGAATGACCTGCAGTAGCGCCCCTTTTTACAAACAGGGTGGAAGGTGTTGTCCATGATGGAGGTAAGCTTTGGGCATCACCCTCCTCTCAGCCACTTCCTCCACTGAGTCTAGAGTGCAGCCTAGGACAGAAGCAGCCTTTCTTATTGGTTTGGTCAGTCTTTCTGTCCCGCTCTGAACTGCCAGGGGTCCAGCACACAACCGCTAAGAGAAAGGCTGATGCCACCACAGAGTCATAGAAGGTTTTAAGCAGGGGCCTGCTCACTCCAAAGGATCTCAGCCTCCTCAGGAGGTGGAGGCGGCACTGTGCCTTCTTATACAGGGCGTCGCTGTTATGAGTCCATTCCAGTTTGTTGTTGACATGAACACCCAGATATTTTTAATTCTCCGCGGGTTTTTTGTCCTGCCCCTGAATGTTCACAGGGAAGTGAGATGGGGATCTTCTTCTGAAACCGATCACCATCTCTTGGGTCTTACTGGTGTTAAGACATAGGTGGTTCTTCTCACACCAGTCCACAAAGGTCATGATGACCGATTAATACTCCAGCTTGTTCCCCCCAGAAACACAGCCTACAATAGCAGAGTCATATGAGAACTTCTGGAGATCACAGCTGTCCGTTTTGTAGGTGAAGTCCAAGATGTAAAGGTTTAAGAGCAAGAGAGATAGGACAGTGCCCTGAGGCCACCTCTGCCTGACAGGTGTGCAGCTACAGGTACTGAGGGAGTTCGGTGAGGTAGTTAATGGTCCAGGCACCAAGATGTTTGTCCACTCCAGCGTCTTCTAATTTCCCTCTGAGTAGCTCTGGTATGATGGTGTTGAAAGCGCTGGAACATGACTCTCACTGCCTTCACGGTGGTCTCCAGGTGGGTGACCGCCCGCTGCAGCAGGTAGATGATGGCATCCTCCACTCCAATATCAGGTCGGTAAGCAAACTGCAGCAGCTCCAGGATGGGGCTCACCACTGTGCGCAGGTGAGCTAGGATGAGGTGCTCCATGGTCTTCATCAGGTGGGAGGTCACACAGGTGGTCTTCCACAGAGAGGGGACCACCCCTAGGCTGAGGCGCAGGTTGTAAATGTAGCTGAGGACCTTGCAAAGTTCAACAGCACAGTTCCTCAGCGGACTTGGAGGAATGCAATCCAGTCCAGAGGTTTTCCTCTGTTTCAGTCTCTTCAGCTGGCTTCTCACCTGCATCGTAGTGACTGTGAGGGTGTAGGGAGGCAGGACAGAGTGTGTGAGTGGTTTGGGGTTCATGAGAGTGGCGGTGAGGGGGAGGGTAGGTCACTGCTGGCCTGGGGGTTGTAGACATGTTGAGAGTTGAGGACAGGGAGGGGGAGCTGCTGTGAGGGGGTCAAACTGTGCGGAAAAATCAGTTTAACTCTGCAAATTTGGTGTTTCTGTCTGCAGCCCTGCTGGTGATGGGACTCAAAAAGCCGGAGATGTTCTTGAGACCCCTCCACACATCTCTGACGTTATTTTGTGTCAGCTGTTCCTCTATTTTCCTCCCTTAGTCCTTCTTTGCCGCCCTGATCCTCCATTAGAGATATCACTGAACTCTACGCTGCTTTTCTCTGTTCCCTGAGTTAAAGCCCTTTTTTTCTGGTTCAGGAGGACTTTCAGCTCAGGAGTCACCCAGGGATGGTTGTTGGGGAAGCTCCGCAGCCTTCCTGTGGGCACCGTGCCCTCCACACAGAAGGTCATACAGTCAGTGATACATTCAGTCAGGCTGTTGATGTCCTCACCATGAAAGCTCTTGAACATGCTTCAGTTTGTGGATCTGAAACGATCCCTCAGTTTCTCAGTGGCCTCATCTGAACTAATTTCACAGAAACTTTTCACTTCACCACTGACCTCTCTGTCACTGACCTGTGATTTCTTTACGTTAGATTTCTAACTGGATAAGTAGAAGGTTAATGGTGCCCCCTCTGCTTAAAGGAGGAGCAGATTTAATTCAGCTCCCTGGATTTTTTTCATAGATTGTAATAATCTGAATTACATGTGAAATTTTATCACAGGTGAAAACGTACATCTGTTGCTTCGTTTCTAACAAACCTTTCTATCTTTACCCTCACCCCTGCTGTGTACAGGTCACCTCCCTCCCTCCTTCCTCCTCCTCCCCTCCTCCCTCCTGCCATCTCTGCGGCGGTTGCCATGGAGAACTCTTCAGTGGCGTCTGCATCATCTGAGGCCGGAAGCACCCGCTCGCAGGAGATAGAGGAGCTGGAGCGCTTCATTGACAGCTACGTCCTGGAGTACCAGGTGCAGGGCATTCTGGGAGACAAGCCAGACGGAGAATTGGAGTTGGACAATGACAGCAAAGAACCACAGGTTAGATGATCGTTTCCTGAAATCTATTGCTCGCTTTGCTCTAAAATCTAACGCACTGCTCTCTCTAATTTGTAAAGACCATAACACAGCAGAAGCTTTCAATGTTCTTTCAACAGTGAATGTAACCATGGAACTGTGAGATCATCAACTTTCTTTGTCCACAGTTTAATTTTCGGTTATGTTAAACAGTATAGGGCCCCATGAAATCTGTTTTTTATGTTTTTACACAATCCCTTCACTGGGTTTTTATTTTTTCTCACTTTCACTTCAAAACTCTACTGTGTAAGCCCAGAAAGGTTTTAATTCTGAAGGGAATAATACCTCAATAAATTTACACACAAAAAAAAAACAAGCAAATGAAAAAATAAAAGTTGTATGGAATTATTAATCTCATGTGTTAAAAAAAAATGAAAACCTTTTTTCTAAAACTTTAATACTTCATGGAGTTTATTTTCTGTGACTAGCTCTTCTTCTCTTCTTCGAATCTGATCATGACGTGTGTGTACATGCATCAAGGTTTCAATCAGATTAAATCATTTCTGCGTCTGCGGAACTGTCTAGTTTTTCGGAAAAATGACGGAAGAAGGCAACGCTAATGTTGCACACATCCACAGTCACAATTATTTTACTCCGAAGGTCTGCATGGGTGACAATCGGAATTTTTTGCCAGCTGACAAGCAAAAACCACCGCTCTCTTCCAGAATGAAACTGATCAGAATCATCAGTCTGACATGTTTACATGAAACATTTTTGATCCGATTAGGTCTTCAATCTAATTAAGTGTGTGCATTTAAAAGTAGCTACCGTTATCTATACAATAACCACTGAGCTCTGCTTCTGCTGATGTAATCTTATTCTATGTAATGTGAATGTAGATGTAATTCTTATCATTAAAGTTGCCCTTTTATTATTTTTAATGACATAAAATTAAATACTTTTCATAATTGACTGTTGGATTAGTAGTGGTGAAACCAACGTTATTGGATGTGCGCTGCACTTACCTTCTTCTCAACATTCAACCACTTCTCTCACATGCTACAGCTGTGCATCTGATAGATTTGTAGTTAGTGGATCACCAAAACAAGGGAATCAAAGAAAATATTCTTGAATTTTCTGGTTTCCCCTATTCAGCTACTGCGATTTAATTTCGCAAGAATGAATCACATCTGTGCATGGGGCACTCACCTCTAGGCCACACTGCTGTGCTCTCTGTTTAATGTTTATCTGTTACCCATCAGTGGACTAAAAACTCCCCTTTTGTTTGATTCTTTACCAGTGGACAGATGACTGCATCAACCAGAGAGATGGTAGTTGGACGTCATCTCAGGGAAGAGGCTCTTCTAAACGTGTAAGTTATGTCCAGATCCTGCTCATCTCTCACTTTTCTTTCATAAATTAGATGATGCATACATGCAAACAAACCTCCTAGTCTGGTTACAAATTACAAGTTTAATGTGGCTTCTACTAAAAACCCTTCTCAGGTAACTGATATGGAGTCCTTAACCAACGGTCAATGTTTTATAACATAAAAGATTAATGATGGGGAATTATATGGTGGATTTTTAGTTGCACCAGGTTTCTGATTGTCTTTATTGACATAAAACTAAGATTATGTACTTTTATGTTCTGTCACACTGTCTTTATTCTTAGTCATAAGAATTAAGGGTTGACGATTAATTGATTTTAACCCCAATAAACAAATAAATCACCCTTGAAATGTTTAAATTAAAAAACAGCAAAATAGACAAAGATTCTTAATATTTACCGAGAAGCTTTCCTTTTCAAATACAGGTCAGTTATCACTTATTGCTTCCTAGTTACCTTAGTTAAGCTTATCTTGTTTATAAATCTGCAGCCTGAAGCTGCACAATATGGGCTTTTTGTTCAGAATGTGTGAAACTTTACAGTTGTTAAAGCACTGCCTGAAAAACTTATTCAAATGTCACAGATTGACACTTTTTGTATCAGTAATTTATTTGTCCATTTACGGTATTTTGATTCTGATGTATCTTTTAAATGGCCTGAATGCTCAGAAAGAGTTGTAGCAGCTTTGTGTTATACTAAAGAGTCAGAAAAATGCTGGTTAAATGTCTCCAATGTCACTTTTTTAAGGTGGTATCCCTAATACTGATTCACCTTATATCAAGCAACACTGGCTTCTTAGATTTTATGCTTACTCATCTTAAGGAAATTGCTGTGACACCAACCCTCTGTTACCACAGTGCAGTGAACAGTGTAGTGTACCATGCCGGAATGTCTGATTAAAACGGAATTCCTCAATGTGATTACAATGATTAGATCATTTTATTTAGGCATTTGAATTGGATCTGTTTGTTTTATAAAGTATCTTTTGATGCCATATTGCAGGACGAGTGGGAACACAGCAGCAATGGCAGTACAGGATCCAGACCCAGCTCAGGGTCCAGGCCAGGATCCGGCTCCCGCTCTGGGAGCAGAGGCAGGAACAATCAATTTAAAGGATCGCCTAAGGTACTGACATAATCTTTTTTTTTTTTTTTTATGGCTATTTATTTCGGCATATTCATCAAAAAACAAAAAAAAACAAATCAAAGTGTATTTATTTTTCCAGGTTCTTAGTAAGTTGTTCAAAAGGATTGAGGGAATTGATCCAGTAAAATCAATTTGCTTCTGTGTTCTACTAGAATGGGAACAGAGATGTCTCCTTTGACATCCTGGGGACAGACATATGGGCAGCGAACACAATGGACTCACGTGGGTAAGTGCTACATTTGCACTGCCATCTCTGTGCTGTGGATTCTGGAGGCTCAGGTGATAAATGTGCTCTTATCTCAGGTCATAAATGAGTGCTGGTTGTATCCGCTCCACCCTCTACTTTCTCTTTTTGAGCTGACCTGTCAGCGTTTGTAGTAGTATAGAGTTTGATATGCATTGGTGCTTCTGTTTTTGAAAGTTTTATGTATTTTTAAAAATAAATGTTTCATCCCCCATGGATTTATGTAGAAAAAGGCTCGCTTTAGATGCTGTTCTTCAAAGAGAAAAGAACAATTTATTATTAAAAAAATACATCCTTGCAAAATGTATATAAATTACTTGTTTCCAAAAAGTGCTTTGAACAAGATTACTATAACAGTTTATATGCGGAAAATATATGAAAATGATCTTGAATTTTTTTAATTACCAGACAAACACGTCCACTTATGACATTTAAAGTAAAGAAAACATTTCATGATGTAATTAAATGTAATAAGACCAATGCACCTTAGAAGATCATAGATCTAATACAAAACAACAATAGTTTATTTGATCCCTTTTGTTATTATTATTTAAACCCCATATTTAAGGACCTGTAAAGATTTCACTTTTCCAGCTTTTGTTTTGTTTTATTTGCCAAACAAAACCCCCAGAAATTGTGTATATCTGTTATGTTGTTGCAGAGGTGCCGGTTGGGACGTACAACCAGAAAAGCTGGATTTCAGCCATTTTCACAGGAAACCAAGAGGAATGCCAAAGCAGCTGCCCCACATTGACAGAGAGGGGTAAGATTAGTATTTGTGTATCAAGGATATTTTGAATAACTAGACAGTTTGGTTTCGATTACTTCTCAGCTTCTGCAATATAAAAATGTGATTTATGCTAGTGATGTTAAAAAATAACATTTCTGTGTTGTATCTTTTTTGTAGCATGAGCACAAACACGTTTGCAGAAGACGATGGAATAGACATGAATGGCCTAGAGAGGTTTTTACCTCATCTGTGCTCCGTAAGTAGTAAATTACTTTTTTATTTGTAAAACAAATATGCAAAGTACCTTTGCAGAGTACAGTTTATATTAGTTAGTATCAATAGAAAAGTGTTTCATGACTTTTTATCAAGGGTTTTGTTGCCATAGCTGACGCTCCTCAGGAGGAAGCTTTGTCATTTATTTGTTATGTGCTGCCATCTAGTGGTGCAGTAGAGAAATATTAAGCATCTGATGCTCAATACAGAACTGGATTTTGAATTGGAACAGTTTTTATTTACAACAACATATTTTGACAACATTTTGCATTTAGGAATACCCTTTTATGTGTTAATGTATAGTTGGGAAAGCTAAGCGGTCAAACAAAATCAACAGAATCAGAAAGCAGCCCAAACCCAAAGAAAAAAATAAGACCTAAATCATTTAGGAGACATTGATCCAAAACTCTCTTCCAGAAAGTTCAGCTTCTTGGAAACTAAGTTCTTAAGAAATATGCATTGATGTGGAAGTGGATCATTTTAGTTTATCAGTTTAAATGTTATTCATTAATGAAGGTTCGGTGACACCTGCTGGTGAGATGTTAAAGTAATCCCCACTGGCCCAAAATAAATTCACCTTATACTCAGACATAAACATTGCTATTTCCTGAAAAGTCAAAACAAAACTTCACTGTACTCCCTGTCCAGAGTCATAATGTATTGCTGTAAATGTGTTTTGCCTGTCTCGGATAACAAACACATTGGTGCTTATTGTACAAATTTCAATGTTATAAACTTTCTCCGATGAGTCGGGTCCAAATATCCAATGCTTTAATTTTCTTATACTCTATTTGTTTAATATATCTGAGTTCTAAAACAGTCTCCAACTCCACTGTGGAAATTCTTCATCTCTAATAATTATACTCATTATACTGCTTGATGTACAATATGTAGGGAAATGATCCTGTGGTTGGCTGAAGTTCTGGCATCACTGAATACGGACCAAATAAGGGCATTTGTTGTTTTAGTTCCTACTGTATGTCCTGCAGTTTAAAAGGTGTGCACAATAACAGCTTCCTGATGTCATTATGCAGTCCCTCTGAGTACGAAGTGTCTGGCTTCAACACAGTGAAATTGATTCTGCAGCTGTGTGAGCAGAGCACAAGGAATGAAGCATTGTGTTTTTCCACAGTTAATTTTGATCTAATGAGGTGACTGGGTTCACCTCGTGTCGCCTCTGTCACAGTCCTCTTTTCCTTCCCTGCTTTCGCAGCCAAAACGGCTTCCCTCTCTCACAGTGGTTGAGCTCCAGGGCCTTCCTCTTTCCTTCCCCTCCTGCCCTTTGGATTGAGCTGTGTTTTGCCTCTCGTGATGTTTTAGCCGAGATGCTTCTTGTTAAGCTACCGAGTTGGCATCTCTCTCTGCGTAGTTCCTGAACCAGGGTTGCAGTTTCCTTTCATTCACTTTGGACCTGAAGTAAGACGGGGGTCAGCTGCTTTTGTGTGGTGTGCTCGGGATCAGATTGAGGTTGATTTGAGGACACAGTAAGGTGCTTTCCCTGACATTCTTCATCTGTCCCCAAAACTAAAGCCTCCTCATTCCCTCACTTTACCTGTGGATTATACATCTTGGCCATATATTCTTAACCTCACAAAATTAAGATTTACATCCTTTTTGACGTTTAACAAGGGTGCTGAAAACTTCATATATGGGAACTGACAGTATAATTTATTTTTTTTTAAATCTTGGTTGATGTATGTATCCTATACATTTTAGTGTTAGGGGTATGTGTCAAATGCAAAATCCCTGTTGCTTTTATTCAAACATATTCAGACAACTTGAATGTGCCAGAAAAACGCCCACACGTTATGCCCACATGCCTCATTTTGCATATGTATTATATATCTGGTTCTTCTACAGTCTTGAAAAGTGTGAAATATTTTGTTATCATAAACCAAACCTGGAATAAACATCTAAGCTTTCTAGACTTAATTCCCTAATTCATTTTCTTAAAGATAAAAATCTGATTTCCTTTATTCTGGATGAAACTGTTCCCGTTAACTTAGATTTAAACATTTTCTTTCTTTTTCACTTGCATTGAAACAATAGGTTTTTTTTTTTTGGTTTTTTTTGATCAAATTCATTGATTGGGACCCTTCAGTTACTGCAAACTAAATCTGATGAATTCAAACAAAGTCAATGAGGCGGAATTTGCTGCCAATTTGCTCCATAGACCTTCTGCCGTGGGTATATGCTATATGCTAAACAAAGCAGTAAAGATGCCACATTGCACATTGCTACTGCACTTATCCAAGTTTTTAGACATTTGGAGCTATGGTGCCACCTGGTGGTTGCAAAAGCTAAGGCAATATACAAAAACATTACCTTGGATGTTATTAAAGTTGGACTAAATTCAACAATCAAAAGTTATTGTGTTTAAATTCAAATAATTGAATGTAAATGTAAAAAATAAAATAAGTGTAAATATTTATTACTTTTGTGACTTTGTTTCACTTTTATTTCCTTTTTTTCCATCCCCTAGTTTTATGTACATGCCTGATAACTTCTGTCTTTTCTCCAAATTAATTTTACAAAACAGTCCGTCTGCTTTGTTTAGGGTTTCTACAAAGTTTTAAAATGTCCTAAACACAGTAAAGTTAGTTTGAATTTTAGGCCTAATAAAAGTTAAATTATGCATCCAGATTTTTTCACATTAGGTTTAAAGTACATTTACTTTTGTTTTAAAAGTCTTAAATCTAACTTGTTGTAGAAACCATGTTATTTTGACAAACAGTGTCTCAATACAAGGGTTACTGGTTTTTATCTTAGCTTTGTATATATATTTTTTTATTTCTAGGGTATGAACCTCTTATTTGGTAGCAGGACTTATATATGTTTTAAATCAAGATTTTGGACATAGATCTTAGTCTTTAAAACAAAAATGTAAGTTTTCAGATCATCTGCTTGCTTGGTGGGATTAAGCTTCTTAACTCCATGTGTAAATAAATGATATTTATAAAGTATCCTCTAACTTTTGTTCAGTCATAATGTGAAACAACCAAATTGAGCCACATGTCTTCAGAGTCATCATTTCCAGCCAATGAATGGAAGTACTTCATCATCCAAAATCCCTGTCTGCATTCCACGCTTCATGCTAACATCTACTTCCCTTTTCCAGGAGTCAGAATGGACACACAAATAGCCCAGGGAAGTTAAAAACATCCCATTTGTGTGTGGGGGGTGGGTGGGTGGGTGTGCTTGCAACTCTGTGAAAAAGCGCTTCCTCCCTTTGCTCTCCGATTCAGCTGGACCTCCGATGGCCTCTCTGGAATGTCAGTCGGCGCACACAATAACCCTGCCTTCACGTCCAATGTCAGTTCGTAATGACAGAAGCATCCAGGGGTCAGGGAACAAGGAGTTGATCTGTGCATTCAGGTCACGTATAACATTGTTGAAAAAAGAAAAAGAAAAGAGAAATTATGAAACCTTTGAGTATGTAATTTATAGCAGTACTAGTATTCATTCAAAATAAGACTTTTTTCACCATTTATAGAAGACGTAACAAACTATCAATTTTTCTATTTTACCTGTAACAGATGCTAATATTTTTGCCTTTAACAGATGGCGTATAAACTCACATTCAGTAGACAGCAGCTAGTTTTTTGCAGAGTTGTATGTTTTGTTTTTTTCCTCCTTTTCTAAATCGAAAGTCATTCAGGCAGCGCTGCTGATTGAGGGGATTAACTTCAGGTCCTTCAGTGTGTGACAGGCTGAGTTTTGTTCTGACCCTGTCAACATAAACTCCTAGAATAAGCAAAACAGACTTTCTGCCGTGTGTGCACCTCTTACACACGGAAACAAGGCAAGGGAAAAATGTATTTTTTAGAGGAAGGCTTTACAAAGTTAATGTTTAAAGCAAGCCTGAGGCATGCAGGTGTCAGATGGCCATCTTCACTTTATTCAATAGACAACACAACAACATGTTTGCAGCTGAGCAAAGCAAGAAAGGCTGGAAATTGGGAGTAATGTGAGTTTTTGTTTTTATCTTCATCTTAAACATTTTAGTCGTGTCCGATAAAAGCCCTTTATCTTGATGCTCTGAGCAGTTAAACTTATATATATACATATTTAATCAAATATGTTTGCTCTAATTTTTTAATATACCACTCTACATCTTCAACACCTCTTGGTTTTCATGATACATTTGTTTAAAAATGTTTTTATATCATAGGTGGATCCAATCTACTGACCTCTGGCTATTCTTGTATATATATTTAAATTTGATTAAATGACTCATTTCATTCACATTTTAAGCATCGTCGTATTAACACGAAACCAAATCTGAAACAGATTTTTCATCCTTTTTAGTTTTAAGAGGGTTTACTAAGTGGATCCAGTTCATCATTCTCCCTAGGATTAGCTAAGGAGCAGAGGGAGTCAGGATAGGAGGAGAAAGTGGCTGGTCACTGAGCACACATCCGGTCTCTGGTGTGTGAAGAGAAAAACAAAGCAGTGTGACTGCGGAACAAAGACGTGGTCTGGAGCTGAGATTCTGCAGACTGGTTGGCCCCTCTGTCTGGAAGTGTACGTGCTGCAGGGCAGGACTTGGGTTCTGAAGGGATGCTGGGGGCGGGGAGACTTTTGTTTGAGGTCTGACTGCCAGCTGCCAGTTTGTCTTACACCTCACACTGGATGTATCATACTCTTCCAGTATATTCCAGCTGATCTAAATCTTTCTCCCTTATTTGGTTTTGATCAACAAACACCTGGCCAGGCTTGGATTCCTTAATATTTACATTTCTTCCTCCATCTCTGACCATCAGCATCAGCTCTGCAATCTGCCCTCTTCCCCGTTCTCCTTACACCGTCCTTCACTTCTCCCCTCCATCATTCACATGTTGGTGGGCAGCAGAACAATATCCAGGGGGTCATGGTGACCGGTAGCCCCCTCCCTGTTGTAACTTCCAACTATTGTTCCTGCTTCAGCTGCTTACTGGCTCCTCCACTTTATTAACCGCTCACAGACTGGCTTAATCACCTCTG